TTGAAAAAGAGTGGCTATTATGACCCATAAGTAGAAAGTGCTGGAAACTGTTCTGAGTCACCTTAAGAAGCAGTACGTGGTAGGTTCCGATTGATTGATTTTATTACAATTAGCAAACAAATCCTTTGCAAAGCGAAAAATATCGTTTGGAATGTATGCAAAACAAAACGAGTTTGGCAGCAGAAATCAATTTAACGATTAAGCTATATCTTAAGACCCAGTCTAAACCAAAAATAATAATGGAATACCTGTGACTGCAATGGTAACCAAAGTAGTTCGTTCCATGCTGGGCGCCCATTTACTCCAGATGGCGTGGTTACAAGGAAACAACACTCCCTTAGAACGAAAATTTTATTGTTAACGCTAAGCATCCACCTAGGTTGATTTTTGACTTTCATAGGATGCTTTTGTAGTTAGAATAACACACCACAGAAGCTGTATGCTCACCAGTACCAGGCCCTCTCCAACTCGTATTATTATTAACAGTACTACACTGGTTCTGGACGCCACAGGCGTCAGTAATGTCAATGTTGAAGCTATCAACACCGCCAGACCAAACAAGCGCGTTCCTCCTACTTTGAGAGCAAGCCAACCACCAGGGATCTGTAACGCAACGTAGCCGTAATAAAATGATCCAAGCACCACACCTAAAATATACAATGAGTTACATGTAACGGGAGCAAGATATTAGGGACTTTTAGATCCCCATTAATCGCAAGCGGCAAACGCTAGGGGTCACGTGACCAGAGCCAGCCGTCACGTTTTTTAGGTTTGAACGTAAAGAGGTAGGTTTGCACGTAAGTCATTTACCTTAGACTTTATTGTCTTGAATTTTATTTTATACCACGTACAAATGCTGAAATCGAATAAAGTAACCCTTTTCCTACGAAGTGGTTATAATTTTTAGGCAAATAAGCAATTGCGGAGCGTAAAATTATATTGAGAGGAGATCCAATATGGCGGCGGCTTAAGTTGAATGTGCGTTTTATGATGCTTTTTTTCTTTAGGAAGTTACGCATGCTAGGAAACATACTTTTTCTTTACATTCTTTTTGGCATGATTTTGACAATTTCCAATGCATTTCTATTCGCCGAACGGCGGACGACAAACGTCCAACCTCAAACCGCAGTCAGACGTTTGCGGCAAACGTAGATCTCAAGGTCTCTATTGGGCCTTGTTTACATCTCCCACAGGGATTTTGTTTTAATTCGATTTCCCCTTTAAAATGTTGACTGGCATACGT